CACTGTCATCATCGCCAAGGCCATCATCGCTATTTGGGAATTTGATATTCCTCGGTACGGACGTATTTGTCTACAAACATGCCAATCGCTAACGCCACAAAGGGATTGCCCCTTTCACTCTTATTAACTCTGCAAGGCATCAATGTCGCGCAAATCTGTCATCGTGTTTGCTGCGCCTCCGAAGGATTTCCAGCCTGTCAATATGCGCCGCACTTGCAACCTAGTCCTTAATGCATAGTGTGTTGCAGGACTTCTACGGAGACTTTTTTCGTCATACTACAAGACATCTAACCTCAGGCATGCTGGAAGCCAACTTTCCGGAAGATCAAACAACTCAGCGCCATGCAGTCAACGCCATCGTCCTCACTACACTTGGTGAGACGCAACTCTCGAGTGCCATGCTCACGATACCTTTTTTGGGCAAGAAACAGGTGTCATTTCCTATACAAAGTTCTGTCTGATGTACACAACAGAGATGAGATTGCCCACACCAGGACATGTCAACAAAGCAGAGTTTGAAAGAACACGAGCCATCTGCAGAAATAGTGCAAAAAGCTGAGAGTAGCTTTGTCAACTACTGTCTACAAGAGCGAGCGACGAAAATCAGGTCACCCTTCTCGACCTGACTCTCCACACCATGCATGCCCCATGCAGCTGTCACGATATCGAGCGACTCAAGGCTCATGCCTAGCTTGTCCGACGAACCATCTACATCTGCGGCATCTCGACTTCACTGTCGCGCCCACGCCTGTTTTGCCACGCCTGCTACTGCTTAACAAGGTTTATTGCGTGTGCCCTATGCGGCATCCCTGAGATCACCAAGATGCATCTAGGGACTGTTTTCCCACCTTAGGGCAAATGTTATTTGCTGCAGAGCTCGTCGATAGCCTTGGGGCGGTTTCAGGGTCGTAAGATGTTCATCAAGGTTTCGGCCCACAACTGGCGTTCGGCCGGACCTCCAGCGTCGACACTAGCTAGTAGTCGCCTTGCGCCATCCTCCGCAAACGGCTGCATAACAAATTCCGAACCACGAGGGCAAACAAAACTCGTCCTGCCAACTGCCGCCCTCCGCACATGCATGCATGTATTCATGCGCAACACCTAGGGCCGCCATTATGCACAACGGCATCCCCAGGCAAGAATCAGTCATCCTTCAGGCCACTGCAAACCGCTCACGTCGTCACTATTTGATTGCTAAAAGACGGCATCTAGTCATTGACATGCGACGCCGAAAGTTCCGTACCATCGCCTCAGTCACAACACCCGAAGCCTAGCCAAACCAGGACGTTACTCACAGAGGGTCCCATGAACTTACCCGAGAGGGGAATCCGCGCGGCATTGCGCCCCGTCTTTTACTCTTCCTGCCTGTTCTTCCCCGTATCTGGTGTCGCGCCACGCTGGACAAGGCAGTAGTCGGCCGATGCTTTGACTGATCGCCATACTATAGTCTTCGTCACGTTCGAAACGGTCATGACTTGAGAGCGTAGGCAGGGTCTGGACAGCCTATTTTGATACTGCTCGCCACCACCCCACTTCCAGATTCAGCAGGATTGTCTAAAGCCTGCTAACCCTGCCATCGTTCGAGCTGAACTGAGCTGCCAATAGATGTACATCATGCCTCCAACTCCCGAAGCCACCTTCACCAATTTACCCTGTTCCTCACGCTAGGTCCCCCTTTCATCCTGGCTGCGTCGCTCTCGCCTCTTGACCCTTATAACCATTAGTGTCGGGTCTTAATACCCTCTGTTATTACCATAACGCTGAACATGGAGTATCGAGCAATGTGATTGTTACAGCTTCTTCTTTTCTTGGCGGTTTTCTTCTATCATCAAGACGCTCGACTGGCCTTTATTACCTCTCCACCATAATGAACATCACTAATTCTACCCCCGCTGGAATACGGGTTAATATCATAGCACTTGCCTTCACCCTCGTTTCAAGTTTGGTTGTTTTTTTACGTCTCTTCACACGCCTAGTAATATCAAAAATGGCTGGATGGGAAGATGCTTTTATTGTACTGGCCATGGTGAGTGAGCATAGTCTTCATCATATACTCGTTCGCTAATGAAAGCCCCCTAGGTCTTTTCCGTAGGACTTACGGTGCTAACCACCGAACAAGTAATGAATGGGTTGGGAAAGCATAGCTCGAAACTCTCGAAAACTGAGCTGGATATACTGCTAAAGGTACGCTCTCACAAGCCCCTTCCACCCTCTTGTACAGCTCAAGAGCGCCAACTGAGTTCTTTGTACTCTATAAAGCTAGCTCTCGGTTCAAGCAAGTGTAAGCTTGCATGCAGGGCGAACTCCGTCTAAAACACGACCCAACATTCCTACCTTCTCTTAAGTTGTTGGAAAAGAAAACTGACAAGCATACCAGTCGTTCTGGGCGAGTGTCTGGGTTTATAGCCTCACCCTTACTACAATCAAGGTCTCCATCCTTGTCCAATATTTCCGCATTTTCCCCGTGCGTGGCTTCCGGATAGCCTGTGTCGTTGTCTTGGGCCTGGTAATCGCATACGGAGCCTGGGCAGTTTCCTCGAGCGTACTCATTTGCACTCCGATCGCTTTCTCGTGGGATAAGTCGATACCAGGCGGTAGGTGCATGAACCAACTCACAGTGTGGATTACCAATGCCGCCTTGAACATCACGTTGGATGTGGTAATATTTCTTATGCCGTTATTAGTCATACGAGGGCTATCAATCTCGAAATCACAAAAACGGGGGCTAGGGACTATGTTCATCTTGGGTGCTAGGTAGGTAAAGCTTGCTCGTCGTAAACCATGCAATGAACTGACGAATCGACAGCGTCACCTTGGTATCCATTGTTAGGCTCTATTCATTGGACGCCGTTGCCAACTCAACAGACGTGTCGTTTGACAACACGGATCATGCAACTCTGTCGGCAGTCGAGGTCAACGTAGGCATCGTGTGTGCTTGCTTACCAGCTATGCGGCCGTTGTTCGCCCTTGTTTTGCCCCAATACTTTTCAGAGTCGCCCAGATATTTGAAGTATAGAACCTTCAAAATAGATATAGCGGCGGAACGAAGAAAGTACCCAGAGTATACCACTCGTCCTCCCACTACCCATATCACAAGGCCTAGCACCGCTCAAACTAGGCCCGCCACTGCCCATATCACAAGGCCTAGCACCGCCCAAACTAGGCCCGTCACTGCACAAATAAGACCCAACACCGCACAAACGAGACCCCGTACAGCGCAAGCAAGCCCCAAAACCACACCACCACAATTCATCAGCACACCGCCAAGACTCGTCACAATACCACCTAGACCCAGCACTGCAGAACCAAAGGCTGACAATACACCAACACCACCTCGAGCCGATATTCTTAAAGAGGACTCTTGGCACGAGACATTTCCTCTCCAGTCCATCTTCTCCCGTCCATCAGGTCGAGGCTCTCCCTTGTCTCAAATGACTGAGACACCACCGCCGTCTTCACCATATTTGCGCGATTTCCAAGGACACTCGCGCAAAGGAAGTAATACGTCCGTGTCAAGCACAGCAAGCGTAGCACTTGAACGATGCATAGCGCGTCTTCAAGCAGGATTTGATGCTCGACGCATGACACCCATTTCGCCGCTCAGTACGGCTTTCCCCGCCCCACTTCGCATCCGAAAATCACCTTCACTGCCGCCAGGCTCGTGGATGCGACGGCCATCCACATCATCGCAGGTTGGGCTGAAGGAATTAGAAACCGACAAGAAATTACCCCCAACCCCCTTCCCTTTCGGATCTCACGAATGAAGTGATTTCCAGTGTAACTGACACAAGGGACAAGGAAAAAAAATAAACAAACAAAAGAGTGATCGTCTTTAATCACAGGTAAACCAACCATACACACACACGCCCGCTATGTACATACAAGGAAAGCCACGAGCCAGCCACCTTGAAAGAACAGGTACTCTTGTAATTACGCGCGCTGCGAAAGTCCGCGATGCCCCCTCCCCAAAGGAGGCCGTGACTTTTCGCCCCATAGCTGCGTAGCTGCCTGCACCACTCTCCCTCCCCCCCTCCTTCCGCCACAAGTTGTGGGGGTGAATAGGAAGAGAGTGGCGCGCGGGTCAGCCTCTTCAAGGATCTAGCCGTGAAGCTACTACAATAATAATAAAGTCTTTTTTTTATATCTCTCACTCAATCGCACTCTCGTCTTTGTCTGCACTTCTTTTTTTTTCCCCTTTTGAGTCCCTGAAGCACATGTCATAAGGTCCTACTATCGTTTTCCCAGATAAGTTCTTATACAAAGAGACCATAGACCACACTACTATCCTGTAATCCAACCCCCCTCACCCTCACCCTCCTCCATTCAAAATCCCCAATCTAACCTCAACATCTACCGATGACCACGCTCCCCTCCCCTCCACTATCCCATTCTCTCTCTCGCTCACACTAACCCTTGTTACCTCGCTAGCTAAGCAACCCCCTCCGTCACCCGTTTCACCACACCATCTCGTTTCCCGTCTATCATTCCACCTTTGCTGCGTCACGGTACGAACTTGGCGTTTCAAGCATAGGACTTACACGTGTGATACTTAAAAAAAAGCCGCCCCGGGGCCGAATGAAGTGGTTTAGTGACGTGTGTGTGTAATCATGTAACGTATGGGTTTCCTTCGTTTGAGTAGCATGATGAGGAAAAGTTACGTATGCGCGCCTTGTGGCAGTGGCAGGATGTGGCTGGGTTGGTGGATACTCGAGTAGGCACAAACAAGCAGCGTGTTGGAAAAGACGGTTATTCTCTCCTGGTATGAGGCTATTGTTCAAGAAGCAAGAGGACATAGTAAGTTGCAGACGTCTCAAGACGACCAGAGTCTTGATTGAGACAGGTACAAAGAGTAGTATAATGCATTTAACGCAACTATCATGACTTGGCCTCTTTCTCCTAACGAGAAAAGTGGCCCCCCATGTAATATACACAGTTGTTTGCTCCAAACGCCAAACAAGGAAACAAGTCACGCAATCGTAGCTAGAAGGGAATGGGTACGCTCATCTGAACTTGCTGAAAATGACGGCGATGATGAGTAGCACCAGGACAGTTATAATGGCAATGGTAATGATGCGGTTCGTGGCCATCCTGCAGTGAGAAACATGGTTAGTATCTGTTAGTTGCACAGATCAAAAGGGCATCCATCTACACCTCCCTATCAACCAGGGGTTCTAGGTGTGGGGAGATGGAAGGGGGTAACCAGGGGGATTATACATACCGCCTCGCCATGCCCCTTAGAGTCTTGATACTCCGATCGGTGTATCCCTCGCTCTCGAGCAGCCTCTCCCTTGTGTTCGTGATTTGCTCCCTCTGCCTGTGCAAGTCACCGAGGGTACTAGCGCCAATCTGCTCCGTCTCGAGCGCAATCCGCTGGCTCTCCCTCAGCCTGTTGCTCGACCTGTTCAAGCGATCTGTGCCAGAGAGAAGTTGCTGGCGCTGCTCGAGTTGAGCGTCGCCGCCATCGGGATTGTCGGTGTAGCGGTCGCCAAAGAGCTTGGAGCGGTCCGAGGTGTATGTTTGCAGCTTGCGCTTGCTGGTATCGAGGTCGTGCTCAAAGTTGCGAAAGCGCGCGTTGTACTTGGACTTGAGATTGGCGGGAATGTTGGACTTTTCGAGGCGCATCTGGCCAATCTAAACAGGAGATTTGTGAGCGCTGCATTCTTTGCACATGTTGTCGCTACATCAAGCCATATGCCTTGTTCCGCATATGCGATATCTCCAGGCTGCAACTCACCAACTCCTCGGCCTCCTCCAGCGCACGCTCTGCCCTACTGATGGCGGCCTTCCTGGGTTCGCCAGTCGTTTCTTTGATCTGCTCTATCTGCTGGCTGAGGTCGGCTTGTACCAGCTTTAGTTCGGCCTCATAGCCGCTGAAGCGCTCGGTGCCCGCGTCGGCATCGATGAGGTTAGACATGGCTTCGCTATCGGAATTTGTCTGTACGGGTTGTGCGAGAAGTAGACGTGTGCGTATGGGTGTGTAGTTGTTGGTCGATGTGCAAGTGAATGAGGCGTTGAGCCGATACTCCAGAGCTCATGCGGCCATTACGCAGTTGCCAAGGCCATCCCTGCCCATGTCACGTGAACCGCATCTGTGCCTGATTGTTCTGCTCGCACTCATTGTCTATTCAGGTGTTGTAGATGTCTCTTGAAGATGATTCCAACTATTCCAATCCCCAGCACGGTCGCGTCAGTTTGCACTCATGATTGCTTTTCCAGTACCAACCCGCGTCTTGAACGCGTCGTTGGCATGGTCCGTACTTCCTCACACACAAGGCCGCACCGCGCACCATGTTGCGACTCTGCATGTCTCAAAGGCCCAGCATGCGCTCACCAATCTTGGAGACCGCATCTTCCCTACATAATCATCGCAACCGGGTGGGGCCACTGTTTAGTAGGATCAGCGGCCCACTCCATCTTTTTTCCAGAGGGCTAATTACGTAGGTCCAACCTGGGCACCAATGATAATCTAGTCTTGTGGAAACATGCTACACGCATGCAACACCACATTGTACTGCACCATGGCTCTGTTGCTGTTGGAATGCGTGAAACGAGCAGCGGCGGCATTAGTCATGTACTTGTAGCGATGGGCCTAGCTTCAACATCCATGACCTCATGAGTCACATATCTTCCGAAGCTCATACTCGCTCTGCCCGTTGTCTTTTTGTCATTGTGGTACATCCACCCAGCATTGAATTCTAGCCTGCTAGTGTAACAATTGCGCTTCCGCACTAGTTCACCATGAGCAACGAGGCGGGAAAAAAGCGTATAGCCATTGTCGGCAGCGGCATATCTGGATTGAGTGCCCTGTTTGCCCTCCGCGATACCCAGCATGAGGTACATCTTTTTGAAAAAGAGGAGCGACTGGGCGGCCACACAAATACGGTGATGTGGAAGCACAACGGCAAAAGCACGCCTGTTGACACTGGCTTCATCGTTTTGAACACGGCTACCTACCGTTCGTCTCTTCCCGCATATCCTGCCACTCGAATCCAAGTTGACAGACAATAGCAAACTTTATCAAGTTTCTCTCCACTCTGCGCGTAAAAACTGTGCCGTCCCTAATGACTTTTGGCGTCTCCCGCGATGCAGGTGCCTTTGAATGGTCCGGCACATCGGGCAGTACGCTCTTCGCTCAGCCATCCAATGCACTCAAACCATCCTTCTGGCGCATGATTTTCGATATTGTCCGCTTCAACCAGTTTGCTCTCGACTTGCTGTCAATCACTCCAGGCTCGCCAGCTGCCATTGCCGCCACCAAGATGAGCATTGGAGAGTATCTGGACCAAGAGGGCTACTCGGACGCCTTTAGGGATGACTACTTGATTCCAATGACTGCATGCGTATGGAGTACTGGCGCAGACAAATGCGCTCTGGAATTTCCAGCCTTGACACTTGTGCGCTTCATGTGGAACCATCACCTGCTTAGCACTATCGCTGAAAGGCCGCCCTGGTTGACTGTTGAAGGCGGATCCAGCAAGTACATTGACGCTGTGCTGGAGCTAGCTGGCAATTGTGAAGGCCACCTTGGAACGCCTGTCCTGGCTGTAAAGAGTAAGAATCAGAAAGTCGAATTGACTTTGGGAGGAAGGGGAGAGGGTCAGACGGAGATCTTCGACGAAGTCGTGCTGGCTTGCCACGGAGACCAAGCAAGATGGATGCTGGGAGATGATGCAACCGAAAAAGAGAAGGAAATCCTAGACGCCTTCGAAACAACGCCGAATACCGCATATTTGCACTCTGACCTCTCAGTAAGTCTGCCAACAGTAGCTTAGAGAGAATGCCTGCTAATAACCCCTAGCTCATGCCCCAACGCCGCACAGCCTGGTCCGCATGGAACTATCTCACAACATCTGCATCCAACCCACCCAAAAACCCAAACCTAAACTCATCCTCCGGTGCCATCGAGTCCGTCTGCTTGACTTACGATATGAACACTCTCCAACACATCCCCCGAGACACCTTCTCATCCGTGCTCGTAACTCTCAATCCATCCTCACCCCCTTCTCCTGCTCTCACCCAGGCAACATACCAGTACCGCCATCCCCTGTACAACTCGCGCATGGTCTTTGCGCAAGATCGCCTCGACGAGATTCAGGGTAAACGCGGTATCTGGTACGCCGGCGCGTGGACGGGCTACGGCTTCCATGAAGACGGATGCCGAAGCGGATTGCAGGTTGGAGAGAAGCTGGGTGGCAAGGCGGGGTGGGAGGTGGTAGATGCAAAGTTTATGAGGGGCAGGCGACCCGTTTTGGAGTGGAAGGATTATGTCGTTAGGTTCGTTGTTACGCTCGTGCAGATGGGGATTAGTATCTTGGGCGGCTTATTGGGGACGGAAAAGAGGATAACGGGTGTTGGGCAGAAGAAGGTGGTCTAGATGATGTGTTTATTGTGTAGTGCATAGTACAGGTTTGAACGCTTCAAATCAAATACTCCTGACACAGTGTATACTGCATCTCGTTGTTCCATGAAAGTTTGTTTTTTTCTCCTTCTAATTGATTATCCATCCATGCAAATCATTTCTCATCACTCCAACTCCCTTGGTTTGCAATTTTACTATTCATTCCCGAAAATCTCTTTCCATTCTTTTATACCGACCGTACACTCGACGCCGAATCTCCCCTGACATGACCCCGTCGCCACACCACCGCCTCCTGGTCTTCCATCACGTTTGACACACCGCGTCGTGTAATCGAGCACGTCCTCGCGCGCGTTTTGCCATCGATTTGCCGTTTAATTTCTGCGTCCCAGCGGAGATATTGTTGTATGGCTGTGATAACAGTAGGTGGCATGATGGGCATGGTACCAAAAAAATGTAGTTATTTTGAGATTGAGAGAATATTGGTAATACAAGAATTGGTAATTGGTATGTTGCAGGTGTTGTTGCAATGGGTATGTAAAAGCAAAAAGTGCGAGGTGGGAGGATATGTGTAGTGGGAGGAGAGTTTTTTTTTTT